AACCGCAAAACTAAATCCACTGTTCTGTGTCTATATTCTGTACAACGATTGAAGTTGTGTCTACTCGATGTTATCAGTGGTATTGATTTTGTGTTATTGATACTGTAATGAAATAGACAGAATAAAAGTTATATCAACGGGTATTTAAGTATCAATGCAAACGGAGGATTCTATTTAGATAGGAAACTGTATGAATGAAATATTTGCTTTATTAATAAAAGCTTTTGTTTTATTGTTAGTGTTGTATTCGTTTACTAAAAGATGTTTATTAAACCCTTTATACGAAATGAGACCAAGATTGTCAGTCAGCAGGCAAAATGTGACAAGAAGATTTTTGATTATTCAACGAATACGAAAAAGCTGAAAAGAAGTATTCTTGGAGCTAACAGAAGCAGAAAAGCACTCTGTTTTGCACCTAGCTTTTGGTGCGAACTTTAAAACATTAAGCCTAAAACTACATGACATATGTAATTACGATGAGCGTTTGTTTCTAATAAGTATATCGGTGGATATTTATCGTTTCGGTCAAATTTCAGATGATACACAAAATGGTGTTTGGAATACATCTGAAATGATCTTATTAATGATTTGCGCTGGCAGCGGACAATTGGGTAAAATGCCAGATAATAGCCCGTCAATTAATTGGATACCGGTCAATATCGATAGCTCATATGTTGTTGATATTGCACTGCAATCAACGTTGAATCAATCATTCAGCGAACGTGTACACCATTTATTAAATCCTCACGAAATTAGTTGGCGAGAGTTTCTCCAACATTTTCAGGCTGCCGAATTAAAATTTCGAATTAAATTGTATCGACAAGTGATTGATTTAATTCAATTTTGACGTCAACAGATACATCCAATCCATTTGTTAAATTACTAGGATTTTTTGAAATATTTTTTTCGCATTTGAAATAGCACACTATGAATAGAGAAAACAATGAAACGAATAAAACAATTAAGACAATACCCAATTATTGATCAACAACTAATTCAATTATATTTAAATTACTAATATGAGTGTGGATTGTTAAAGAATGCTTGTTATGAACGTCAAAACATTAAGACAAAAAGAAATGTGTAAACTTTTGTAAACTGAACCATTATTCTTTCTGAAATATTTTTGGAGGTTCCACAGGTAAAAACCTCCAGCAGACCCTCATTCTTATGAAAGCTTCATGCAAAGAAACTCTTCTTCATCGATACTTCTTTTAGAGTTTTATGAGAATTAGTATTTCCAATGATGTGCTATGACAAAGCTTTCTACAGTAGTATCGTGCAAAACACTTTTTCCACTGTGCATTTTGGATAAAACATCTAATGTACATATATTTAGCGAAATATATGTAAATTAGATGTCTTTTTTGATTTATTATCACAGATTATCTTGCAGAACTACTATCACTTCATAAAAAGAATGGGCCATGGAATTGTTTGAATAACTTTTTAACGGAAAGAGCTAGAACGATCTGGTTTTTACTACTGGAGAGAGAAGCTGATGGAAAGTGAAACTATGAAGAAATCAGATCTCCAGATGAGGTTTACCATGGTAAACCTTTCGAAACAAAGTCCGAAAGCTGTCAACTTTTAGAAAAGAAAGGGATTTTTAATTTCAAAATGTTGATTCTATCCTCTGAAGTGTACTCTTTAAAACTATTCAAGTCCCAGATCTCTGTCTCTTTTGGGTCAGGAGTTATAGGCATTTTCCGAGGACCGATGAAAAAACGTCGTAGAGAGTTCGGCGACGTCTATTTTTATTCGGAAGTGCTTGCTCTACACGAATGAGCGCGGGACTTGATTTTTTGGGATTTTTTTTATACTCTAGATAAGATGGAATCAGTTCCAACTTACGAGTTTTGACTGTTCTATCTGATAGATTACGTTAGTACACAATAAAGGCTTTTGAGCCTCATCATTAAAACTGAAGACACCATAACATTTTTAAGAAAAGTGGGTCTACGATCGATTGAAAATCGAGTCCAAGGTCAAACGAAAAAATTTGCAGCTCCTCAGATACACAAGGTGACAGTCCGAAATTTCAAACAATCTACTTACCTTCTTGGTCTTTTTCAGATTAACGGCGGCGTCAGATCAGACGTTTGGATACCAGAAAACTATTGGCCACCTCATTTCTGTTCAGTCTGTTCCTTATGTGCTTTTTCGCCATTTGACAGTAGACAGTATGGTGGTAATTTTATTGGCATCAACAATCTTGTTTCTTCTACTTGTTATCACATTTTGCTTGGCTTACAACCTAATTTACAAACAAAAACGAGTTTATGATATACTCAAACAGCAGAACATTCCTGGTGATCCGTTCATACCTATTGTCGGTCACATTCCTCGCTTTAGTCGAAATGACCAGGTCCTCGATGTCCGTCGATGTCAACAAGAGAAACATGGCGACATTTATTTGCTGTCCTTTGGACATCGCGTCAATTTGGTATTAGTTGACACCAATTACATTGGCGATGTGTTGAGAAAGTGCGCAAAATGTTGCAAGAAACCGGAACTGTTTCGAACTGTATTCGGTCCTTTGATCGGCGGCACAAATAATCTGTTTGCCAGCGAGGGTGAGGAGCACAGACGATCGAGAAAAATGTTGAATTCAGCATTTCAACATTCGAACCTACAGTCAATGGTTACAGTCATGACTGAGCAGACAGCCAGACATGTGGACGAGCTATTGGCAGATATCACCAACAACGACATAAAGGAATTCAATATGGATCAGGAATTTTACAAACTGACATTGTCAATCATTGTCTCATCCGTATTCGGCCAGGAAATATTTGAGACAAAATCGAACGGAAAAGAACTACTTTGCAGTGCATACAGAAATGCCATCAAAGCCATCGAATATCGTTCATTGTACATGATTAATCAAATACCAATACTGAAAAATTTACCGTTATGGAAAAAAGACATCGTTGACAAAGGAACAAATGAAATTTGCAAGTTTGTTAATGAAATCATCGTTGATTATAGTCGAAAAAACGATTCGTCATCGTCAACAAATAGCAGTGATATACTCAGTCTATTATTGTCGGCTACTGATCAGCATGGCATCGGGTTCAATGATGAGGAACTGAAGCAAGAAGCAGCGTCATTCCTTTTCGCTGGCCATGAAGCAAGCAGTAATCTGATGACATGGTGTTTATACGTACTGATGACGCATGACAATGTCTACCGGGATTGTCAAGATGAAATTGACCGTGTGCTAGAAGATGGACAGCCGCCCGAATTCTGTAAACTGAATGAGCTGGAAATACTCGATGCTGTACTGCATGAAACACTGCGCTTCTATCCGCCGTTGCCTACAATTCGACGAGAATGCATCAAAGAGCACTGCATCGGTTCATCGAATCAGCAGCTGCGAATACCAATTGGCACGACAATCAACATCGACGTTTACGGTGTACATCGTTCACCTCGGTACTGGCAGGAGCCACTGACATTCAATTACAGACGATGGATGGGCAATGAGAGACGAAAGAATCTGACAAGAGATTGTGCCCGATGTACAGTTGACAATGAAGCCAAAATACGGCCTCCTGGCGAAAATAATAGCGAGATCAGTTGAGAAAAAGTGATCTCGCAACAAACAGAATTGTGATATTTGACTACGATAAGTAAAGTATTCTCCTTCCATTTGAAGCTTTTAATTCGCTGATGGGCTCTACATTCTAAAATAAACGTTGTAGAATCTCTGTTTTTTTTTGCAGTTTGTATAATACACCACGGCCCATCTTTTGAGATCACTGTCGACTCTTCATCATTCCGAAATTATTCGAATTTCGGATTTTCATATCTGTCTCAACCGGGTCATGTTATGACTCCATTGAAACTTTGTCCAACTGGGCAAAACATTTTATTACAGGTGCCCCAAATCCATTTTTCGGATTTCGTTTAAACCCTTTTGTTCGGGTCTTATAGCGAAAATGAAAAACTGGCAGAGGTTTTTCACTACAAATCGAAATGATCTGTATAGCAGATTTTTCAAACTGAAAATGGATTCTGAGATAGGATGTGGTGTACTTGTGATCAAAAATCCAGCCTAATGGTCAAAGTTTCGATGAGCTCCCAACATAACAGGAGTGAGATGGGTAATGAAATATACCGGTTTCTACCAAATGACAGAAAGAAAGGAAAGCATGTTTTTATACAGCTTGCGGAAGAATCCTCATACGTTGCTCGAAACAGATCGCATAAATATGAGAGGTCTCATTTTGAAGAGAATTCTTTATTGTACAAGATTGTCGACTCAACAATGTCTTAGCGTTTAGGTAGTCGTAATAAAAGAAATTGAGAACATGAAAATTTGAATATCGTCTCGTGCAAGAACTTAAAATTTCATAAGACTGAAGGATTTGTGTAGCCCGAGTAAAATGCGGAATCCTTTTTCTGTATGCTAAATTTCTTCAACAAATAATTCAGAATACTTTCGCTTTGATTCTGATTTGAATTCACATCGGATAAAATCATAATGTAAGAGTCAACGTGGCTCCATGCTCTGCTAGCAAATATGGTGCATTCGAGAAAGAATCACAATTTACCAACGAATCTCGTTCCGAGACCGAACTTGCAAAACGGCTTTCGGCCTTTGCAGTTGCTCGCTTGTTCTCTCGCCGTTCAAAACAGAAAACTGGCCCAATGTCAACAGTCGTACATGCTGCCCACCGAAGGCGACAACCAGGACGTGAACAGTCTGGGGATGCATGCCGCATACGACTTCCAAGAGTCCGTTAATAATCTTGAGCGGCTGACGGCGATTCTGCTCCTTACATCGACGCAGGCACTCGAATTCCACGGCATAGAAAAGGCCGGAACACAGTCGCGTCGAATTTATACTCTTATTCGACAGCATTCATCGATGCTCGTCGACTGTCGGCCGATGTCCGATGAAATGGGCAAAGTGATAGCCATTTTACAACAAGACATGGTTTAGATTACTGGGATCAGCTTACATGCGTATATTTAAACAACTGTTATGAATTTTTCATTCTCACAGGTCCTTCCTTCCATGCTGTCTCACATCTTTCGCAGACAAAACTATCTATCGGAAAGAGGAATTTTATTGAGCAAAATTTTCATTAATAGTTGTTACTACAGACCCTATCACATATTTGTCATTAATCAGAACCTTGATAATTGACATACATGATGGAATTTTTTTCCATCTCATAGGAGTTAATAGTTAATAGTTTGACGGTCGCGATAATGGGAAGAAAAAGCATTGAGCTTTAAGCTAAGCTTTATTATGACCTACTATGACACATAGCGTCTCAACACGTGAGCGCCACATGCTTTTACATGTTTTAATTATAATGTAACTTTGCTAAAGCTTCAGGGTTTTGTCAATAACCACAAGAACAAGAAAATTTGATAGCAAAAATCATATTGCGAATAAATACAACGCTGTAGAGGTTACTGCTAAGTTTCCATATCAATGGATATATTTAATGAGTATTTACTCTGGTTCTGTATAACATACTTGTTGAACAATTTTGATTAATACCAGAGCCAATTATCGTTTCTGAGAAAAAAGTTTACCGATGGCAGAAGAAGAAGAAGAAAACATTCAAGAAGAGCAAGAAGAAGTAGTTGCTCCAAAATCGAAAAAAATATTTATTAATCATGTCGATTCTTATCACGGGAAAAACATTGCTCGGGTAAATAGACGTTGTTTTTGCAAGAAAACTTATTCAGAAGCTTGATCTATTGCTTTTTGTTTCATCTTTAAAGGTATTTGCACGTTCGAAACCGGGTTCGACATCAGAAGCAGCTACCGAAGAGGAAGCTGAAGAAGAAGAAAGTGCGACTGCTAAAGAAACGCAGTTGTAT